TGCGCATGGACCAATTTCCCCAAATCTGTGGCGGAAGATGTAAGGCGGGGCCTCTCATATGACGCACACCTGCACACTTGCTAGCCTGTTCCACTCTTCGTTTTCCGAATGCCAGGAAGTATTCTTGCTTCTGAAGCAAGTGACTCGGAAGACATGTGCTACCAAGCCAGCATCCTCGCGATTGAGAAACGGCCAGTGTGTCTCCCGGCGTTAGGATAGGCGAGACATCCTTCTCCTCCAGCTTCTCTCTATATATACACACAGCTGAGTGGAATTTGGAACACCTGGGCAGAGGCGGAGCCAGGGGCAGACCAGGTGCACCTGGGCAACTGTGCCTGCATTGATTTCACTGTGAAATTCAAAATTACCTTATTATATCGTGAATATTACAGGTAAAGACTGTAAAGTGGTAAAACAGTAATTTATTGTAAAATATTACAGCTAAATATTGTGAAATCATGGTAATATTTTACATTGTGTCCAGTGATATATGTATTGTATTTTTTGTATTTCAAAGCAAAATACGTCCCTTTAGATAATGATTGTTACCAATACAGAATTATGAGAAAAGGCTCAAAGTTCTCAGGCAATTTTTAGGTATTTATTCAACTAAATCATGAACTATAAAACAAATTAATCTTGACATGTTGGCAGAAACCCATACTCACACACTTTACTGTTTCACCTTGGTTGCTGTTACGTTCCCTCCAAAATCTAGGGGTACGAAGGGGAGTAACAAAACACAGAACGACCAGCACGAGAAAAAAGAGAGGAAACTGATCTCTTTGTTCACACATGAGATTTAATTCAACAATAATGGACAACCAGGTCCCACACAGAGACCCAAGACGACGTGCTGCACCCATGCAGCCAGAGGAGAAAAGGAGACCCACTGCAGACTTCCTCAGGTCCTTTAAGGAAGACCCTGATTGGGGATTGGGAGCACCTGGGAGAGAGGCTGCACCTGGAGACAATCAGGCTGCACCTGGAGAATCAGAGGGAGAGAGAGAGAAAGACACACACACCCACACACACACACTACGGCACGTAACACCCCCCCCCCATAAAACCAAACAAGTGTTTGGCCACAGTTACCAAAAACACTCAGACCACTGGACATGAATCGTGACCCACTGCAATCGCAATCTCACCCACAGCACCGTACATCGGCCACCACCTTATCTGCTCCCCTCTTGTGCTTGATGACGATATTGTATTCTGGGTGCTGGTCTTTTGACTTTTCCGTAGACTGCTTGGAAGCTGCCACCTGCTGCTTCCAAGCTACACACCCTGCCACTAGATGACCAGGATCAAGACAAAAGAAACATAATCTCTTGGGACCTCGAGTTCTGGTCAAAACACAACCTGCAAACACCTTCGGATGAGTCTGAGCTAGGTCACCACCTGCAGCACCAGGAACTGAAACGTCTACAACCTCAGCAGTAGGATACACTTTACCCCCGGCTATATCGTTACCCATTATGAAATCCACTCCGTCGACAGGAAACTTGGGCAGCACAGCAACTGGAAAGAAACCAGTAGCCAGTTTAGACTGTACCTGGATCTTGTGAAGAGGTGCAGGCACACAACCCATCCCAATACCTCTTACCACCGCACTTGCCTCACAGGCAGACTCAGCACTCAAGGGCAGAACACTGGCAAGAATGAACGACTGTGAGCCACCACTGTCTCGTAACACCGTGACCTGCCGCTGGTCCTCCACCTTTCCTGACAGAGAGACAAAAGCAGTAGAGATGAACGGTTTCAAACACTCATCAGGCCCTTTGTTAACAGTGGCCCGTCCACTATGACACACTGCTGTAACCAATCCCACCCCTTCTGGGTGCTTGCCAGCCGCTGTCTGCTCTCGCTTCCAACCTGCACAGTCTGCTATCACATGACCTGGGTCATGACAAAAAAAACACACTCTGTTTAGCCTGGGATCTAACACTGGAGCACTGACACAGGGAAGAAAAGGAGACCCACTGCAGACTTCCTCAGGTCCTTTAAGGAAGACCCTGATTGGGGATTGGGAGCACCTGGGAGAGAGGCTGCACCTGGAGACAATCAGGCTGCACCTGGAGAATCAGAGGGAGAGAGAGAGAAAGACACACACACCCACACACACACACTACAGCACGTAACAGTTGCTTACACAAATCAATCGCTGGAACAAAGTCTCTCAATTAATCAAAGTGTATTTATATAGCCCAAAATCACACATTTTTGAGAGATTTGTCTCAGGGGACTTAACAGTTTGTACAGAATATGAATACGCAAACGACTCCCTCTGTCCTTAGACCCCGGAGAAAACCCTTACACACACAGCACTCCTAACCTATGGTCGATATTGTGAAGTTTCATTTAATTTCCATCTTTATTTCGAACAGATTAAAAAAAACAAATAACAAATGTGAAAAAAAGAATACCGTATTGTTGCCTCTTCGTCTCCATCTTCTTTGTTCCAAGATTTCTTCTCGACAAGAAGGTCCTTAATCTCCTCTATCTTATTTTCTAATTAATCCTTGTCTTCTTTAATAGTTTCCTTTAGAATCTTGTTTTCAGACTGCAGAGACTGTATTTTGAGGCTTTGTGAGAACAGCTCTTCAGCAAACAGCTTCTGCTTATATTTTGACGCATCTTCTTTCGCCTGGAATTTGCTGTCATACTCAATTCCCTCCATTTTGAGAAATGTGTCTAAATTAAACAATTTAGTTTCAGCAGCAAAGGGTTAGCCTTGAAATATAAAGCTGCCAACCTCCAGTTGCTGTTGTTCCTGGAGTTGGAATGTATTCAACTTTTAGCCCAATGTTTAAATTAAATAGAAAATGTTAACGTTTGTTTACTTTTCTTACTTGCTGTAAGAAGAGGGGGAGGAAAAGAGAGGCTCCGTTTATTATTCTTATATTATTATATAGAGTCGTTATCAATTTGTTTTAAAGCTCAATAAATAACAAAGAAGACCTCTGACCGGCACTTTTCTAATTTTGTCCGGAAGATTTAAACTTTAACGGACATGTTGAACGGCGAAAAAAAATGTTAACGGAAACTCTGCCGCACGGTCCCCTCGTCCTTTGGAAGAGGCGGAGAGGTGGGTGTTTTTCATCTGCTGGTGGACTATCGGAGAGATTTACAGCAGGAACACACGCCGTCCACCGTGGAGAATAAACAGAAGGGCAACCATGGCAACCATGCTCCGGGGTCTTCTTCGCTGCTTTTGGTGTATTTTGTGGCGGCAGCAGCGCCACTTACAGGCCCGGCATATGTACTACAGCGTTTCCAGCGTTTCCAGCGTTTCCAGCGTTTCCAGCGTTTCCAGCGTTTCCAGCGGTCTCGTGTGAACGGACACGTTAATTGAGCCGAATGCGTGTGAACGGAATACTTTTTTGAAAACGCATACGGTGCGTAAACGCAAATGTTCCCGTGTAAATGGGGTGTATCTTTTTTGTCATTAACCTTTTTCGGACTACTTATTAATTTATTTTGGTGACGATCCGACCTCCATGCTGCTACTCTGGTTCAAACAATATTATTTATCTCGACCTCCCCAAAAGAACCAAAATCTGACACGGTGTTTTTTAGCTGTTCTGTCGTAATTTCCTGCGATCTTCTTCATGCAGTCAATCAAAAATGAATATTAATACGGGGCGTTTCTTTGACTATTCATAGGCAAATATGGGCGCTACGTGAAGCCCGCAAAAGCTGCGCCACATTTTGAGTTGATTGTGATTTATAAAGGGAAACCGGCGTAGGACGTGCCGCAAGTCCTACGCCGGTACGCAGTGTTTTATAAATCGGAAAATGTCTGTGCGTATTTATTTGCTTTGTCCTACGTAAGCAACCTTCCCATGTGAATCCTACGCAAGGCTTTATAAATGAGGCCCCAGGCCCGTACCTAAATTGGATAATATATTGATTTCAAACCATGTCAGTGGGCATAAATGATATTTGAAAGTGTAATGCATGAGAATCAGTTGATTGTTACCTATAACGATCCACATTATAATCTGGACATGCAAAAAATAGTTTTATCCCTCAACAAAGTGGCTTGAATTTGTTCTCAGGAGGGGAGTTTGACAGAGAATAACTGAAAAGTACACAGTAAAGTAGGCCTACTTCATTGTATTGTTGGTAGCAGTCAAACTAGTACTGAGTCCAAAAGTGTCAGTTTTATTAAGAACTTATGGTAAAACATATTTTTATAGACGGCTGACTTGACTGCAGTGTTCTGGTGCACTCCGACAGCACTGAGCACTACATCGAGATTAAGATTAAACACATTTATTTCAGATTTGGGAACACACACATATACCTATGGAGTTGGCCAGATGTGTAAATTACTGTTCATGGTCATTTGAAAACAAATGCCAGTGTCGGACACACACAAACACACCGAACTTTTTTTATAACGTCTTCAATCGTTTCATATAGCAGAGTAAAAAAAAAATGAATGGAAAATATTTTAAGAGGCAGTAATAAAACAGCAACACGTTTCATTTGTTTACTAATCCTGACAGTTAATTTGTAGCCACAAATCCAAGAAAATCCATTTTGAGTTATCTCTATACTCTAGTGAGAGTGATAAGATCAAGCATCAATGTATTGTTGTAAGCTTTTGAAGATGTAGAGCTTCAGCCTTCAGGCCTTTAATTTTTTAGAATTATTCAGAGGGATGTAAATTGGTGTAAAATGTCTGTTACCAGAAAGAAAAGAAAATGTTAACAGTATAATGTGTGTTAAGGTGGTGTAGAATGAGGCTACACCCCTGACGCCCCTCAGGCTGGAGCATGTTCCAGTCGACTGGAATGAATCGCAACTCGTGATCCCCCATTCTCAGCAGCGCCAGGCCTTAAAAGATGCTTTCCCCCCAATAATCCCTCTCTCTCTCCGCAGCTTGTAGTGTAGTGTAGTGTTAGCTGCAGCTTCAGCCCATATTCACTATTTTGCAGGCATACAGTCTTAGAGTAAAGAAACATATGGGTCCTTGGAATAATTGCTAATTTAACTTCTTTTGTTTTTTTAACAAAATTGAAAATGAATAAGGTTTCAGCTCTGCAAAAAAAGAAAAGAAAAGATTTTATACCTTACTTTCTAGGATTTGTAATATTTTTATATTGCACCGTCCATCTTGTATCATTTACAGCTCAAACTGCCCAGGAAACCCACTCTACCAGAGTTCGTCGGGCTCTTGGTAAGAAAATCTAATATTTATATATATATTTGTTTAGCATACTTTTTTGTATTTTGAATGACCCTCATACTCCGGTATATCTTTGTTTTAGTTTTCTAATCTGTGTGTACTCACAAATGTCACGACTCATTTTCACATTTAAAAAGTGTGAGTAATCAATTTGTGCCAGGCAAATGTGAGAGTGTTTTTCTCTCTAGTCCTTTTGTGTTGTTGGCACTAAGTACCATGTAACTGCCATTAAGAGTTCAAACTATCTGGGTGCTGTACTCCAGCAACAAGCTAGTTGTTTTGGGTAACAGATTTTGTCAGTTATATGTGTGTTTCCTGCTCTTTTTTTTAGAGAACGAGACAGAATGTATCTCACCACAGTCCTCTGAGTTTCCTGAGGGCTTTTTCACGGTGCAGGAGAGGAAGGATGGAGGGCTAGTCATATATTTCATGATTATTTTCTACATGTTTCTGGCTGTAGCAATAATCTGCGACGATTACTTCTTGCCTTCCTTAGAAGTGATCAGTGAACGTAAGTGACATTAAAATAATTTCATCATAAATTAACTGTAATTATGGGAGTAATGAGGATTATAAATGATTACTAGGCAAACTTCACAGGATTAGGCTGCTCAAATATTCTATTACTCTAAATACGTGGACAGAGTTTGTAAAAGTCCATTCATGTTATATGCATATGTTTAAATGTTTGGACAGTGTTTTAGATTTGTATGAATGTTTTCATCATTAATTAATATGTCAATTATTTTCAATCAATCAGAAAAAATGTTTAGCCTATAAAAAGATTGAACAAAAAGTAAAAAAGGCCCAAAACAAGAAGGCCCAAAGTTCATTTTCTGTCTGACAAATCAAACTCACAGGAGTTGCAAATAACAATCCTGTACGATATATTGAAATACCATATACTTTAGACACAATACATATGCAAGCATGAAGCTTCCTTTATCATTGCCTGGTAATTTTTTAGCTTGTAGTTTGTGAATTTGTTGAATTACATTTATTATAATCAGGTATTTCTTTAAGTTTATACACACATGTTAATTGCCATGTATTCTTGGTGTTTCCTGCGTCCCTCAGGTCTGGGACTGTCTCAGGATGTAGCAGGAGCCACCTTTATGGCAGCTGGGAGTTCTGCACCTGAACTGGTCACAGCCTTTCTGGGTAATCGTGCAGTAATATAACAATCATTACAACCAGCATCATCTTCACTGTCACAATGTCATTTCCTCACCCAATGAACTGTGACTCCACCACCATATGTGAACACAAAGAGGCAGTGATCTTTTCATTATTTGTTTTACTTTCAGCAGCTTATTTGACACTTCTTCTTCTTCTTTTAATCAATGATCTGCATTGTTCCTGTCCTCAGACCTAAGTTGTGCTCTTTATGTTTGTTAGGTGTGTTTGTGACAAAGGGAGACATCGGGGTCAGCACCATCGTGGGATCAGCGGTCTACAACCTGCTAGGAATTTGTGCGGCATGTGGACTCTTGGCCTCTATGGTACATTCTGACACAATCACACACTCGCAATATTCAGACAGAGATTAGCTCAGCTATTACCACTTGTACATAACAGTGGCACCTTTACTGGGTCAAAGCGGAAGAGTCAATGTGAACATTTGTGTTGTATAAGCTGTTAACCATTTATTTTTGTTTCCGTTATCAGGCCGGACGCCTCACCTGTTGGCCACTGTTCAGGGACTGCCTAGCATATGCCATCAGTGTTTCTGCTGTTATTGCCATCATTTCTGATAACAAGGTGTACTGGTGAGTGTGCTCTACGATCTGGTTACATGATCTTCAGACCTTAACCCTACATGTCAGGTGGTTGTACAAGACAGATGTGTATTGCTTCTTGTGTCACTAAAAAAAACACATCAAAACAGATCACAAAACAAGTATAGTGAAGTACTATGACTCAGTGCCTTTTATTGACAGTACAGAGCAATAAAGGACCCTTAAATAGGACATTATTACATTATAAAAAGCAAACGCAGTATCTCGAGTGTTTATGAAACATTTCCACAAGTACTGGAATTACTTAATTGGTGTAGCACACAAAGACAGTGTTAGCTTACAAAAACCACACAACTCATGATATGGAGTTTCATAATAGCTGTAAAATAAAAAAATATATATATCAATACTAAACTGCAATAGACATAACCATAAAAGTAGATCAAACAAGTAGTAGACCCAGTAAACGACAAGCTAACAACTTTTAAAATAGAGACATTCTGTAACAACTTCAAATTTGATCCCTTTAATAATGTAATTCTTGTTATTTAAGATGTATATTTTTTAATCACCTGCTTTATTGGTTATTGCCGGAGCTTTAAACCACATTCCACAGCCCTCTTCAGCTGGTGGGACTTGCTCAGATGTTTAAGTCACATGACCAAGTTACACTCTCTGAAGAAGGTCATGGGTTTTTGTTTACCTCCTATACAGTAGCTGTCCCCAAGGTCAAGATTGAAAGTCAAAGCTGAGTGTACATTCTGTTTACAGGTACGACGCTGCCTGCCTGCTGCTGGTCTATGGTGTCTACATCGTGGTTCTGTGCTTTGACCTGCGCATCAGCGAGTTTGTCCTGAGGAAGCTGAGCCCCTGCTGCACCTGTCTGGGCCACGGATCAGCTGAGAAGACTGAGACACAGACTCTGCTGGGCTGGAGTAAAGACACCACTCTGCGTGTCCACAATCGCTCCAGAACTGACAGCGGGATCTTCCATGACGACTCGGGATACTCCAACTTGTCCCTCAGTCTGCATGGCCTCAATGAGATTCCAGAAGGTAAACACACTGCTTATTGCAATGTTTTTCACTGTTTTTAGCATGTCTACCTGGAGTCATCCACCTGTCGGTTTGACCTTCATGACCCCTGATGATCTGACATAATACGACTCATAACATTGCTTGTCTGCTTGGGTTCCAGCAGAGCATAAAAGCGTGTTTGCTGTGCCGGAGAGCGACCTGAAGCGGATTTTCTGGGTTTTGTCTTTGCCCCTCATCACGCTGCTCTTCCTGACCATCCCTGACTGCAGGAGGAGGTTCTGGAAGGGATGGTTTATGATAACCTTCCTCATGTCAGCTGTCTGGATCTCAGGTTTCACATACATTCTGGTCTGGATGGTCACTATTGTCGGTAAGATCATTGTTTTCTCTCTTTTATTCTATGATGAGCTTGTCAAAAATCTGTACCTTCCCCCAGTGTTTTCCCTTTAGTTGTAGGTATAAATCATTCGGTCACGCACCAGGCCTTTGTGGATCACAAGTGTTTGAAACTTGTGAGAAAAAACTGTCTGATTCGCAGAGTAGAATCACATGTTGGTCTGCTGGCTAATTCCTGAGATGCCATTGTCCTAGAAAGTTAAGAGGGGGGTTATTGTAGCTCCAGTGAGGCATGTGCGTAAACCGGGATTACTGCCTGCTTCACCCCTAAGGAAACAGTCATGTGAGCCATGGGTATACACAGAACAACCCACAGGCACAAGTCTAATAACATGTAACTGACCTAGAGTCAGGCTGAAAGGACAGCTCCATCATGTGATGGTGGTAGGTCTACTTAAGTATAAAGAGATTATTATCCCGTAGTTGTCAGATAGGCTCCTTCAAGGAGAATTCAGTCTTATGAATGCAGGCATGAGGCCAAAGTACAACTCGACCATACAGTACGTTATTGATAATATTGGGAACACTTTCCATGTCTGCAGTTACAGTAGATGTCAAAATGTGGTTAATATTTGGGTATTACTGGAGCATAGGAGTAACTAAAAAAAACATTACCCACAATGGCTTCGAATCATTTAAAGCTGCCATTGGAGATACAATTATATGTTTTTAAAAGCTCAAAACAAGTTAAGTTAGTGGCTAATTTTAATTGTCTAAATGTGGAGGGGATGCACTCATTCTCAGGTTATGCTTGGGGAATTTGGTCTTGTGACCTCAGTATTTCTAAAATCCTGCTATGACCCTGGCTCTAGATTATTGAATAACCCTATACAGTAGCAGGGGTGCCCACACTTGTTCAGCTTGGGAGCTACTTTTAAAATGACCATAGTAAGGATGGATGATAGGCTAACTTTAAAAAAAAAAAAAATGTAAAAAAAAGAAATGTTTCTTTTTCTTTTTTATGCCATGTGATCTACCCACACTACCTTTGCGATCGACGTATTGGGCACCCCTGCCCTATAGCAACAGTTAAGATCAGCTGATGTTCTCTCTTTAGCTTTATGTTGTTGGAGGGGGGCTCATTCTTATTGTGTTCTTTTTTTAACAGGGGAGACCCTTGGCATTCCTGATACAGTTATGGGACTCACTCTGCTTGCTGCTGGGACCAGTATACCTGACACCATAGCCAGTGTAATGGTAGCCAGAGAAGGTAAACATTTCCTTTCTTAAACAATTCTACACATGTAAATGGAAAGTATGGTTTAGGGCCTTTAGGCATTAACTTTGACCTTTCCCATCAGGCATTTTAGAACTGAAGAACATGTAAATACTTTCTATACATCCATTCTGTATGAAAAGAGACTTGAACTTGTTTTCTGTGTTTTAGGGAAAGCTGACATGGCCATGTCCAACATTGTGGGCTCTAATGTTTTTGACATGTTGTGCCTGGGCCTGCCCTGGTTCATCAAGACTGCCTTTGTGGATACCAACAACCCTGTAGAGGTCAACAGCAGCGGACTGCTCTTCATTTCCTTCACGCTGCTACTTTCCATCATCTTCCTCTTTGTAGCTGTTCACATTAATGGATGGAAGCTGGACTGGAAGTTGGGAATCGTTTGTCTTTTCTGCTATATCCTGTTTGCCACTCTGGCCATCCTGTACGAGCTGGGGATTATTGGGAATAATCCCATCAAACTGTGTGGTGACTGAGATCTGATCTCCCCAAAACTGAAGCCATATTTAATTACAGACTCAAACATTCCAGAAACAAAACTAATTTGAAGCAAATGAAGCATGGTCACATACTTTCAAAGATATTGTGCCATGGAAGACGTGTGCTGGTCACATCTCAAGAAGAGGATGATCTCCAGTAATAATATAATGTATTTTTAGCTAAAGGTGGATGTGTGCCAAAGATCATTTTGTTGTGTGAGCCTGTCCGATCCAGACCTGCTTTATCATACAAGGACCTGTTATCACGTTCTGAGAAGTCTTCTCTTACTCAAGGCCCATAAACAGAAAAGAGGCTGCACAGGAGTGGCAGCTGACCACAGTCAAGAAATAAAAGTATCAACTAAACTCATTTAGCCCTGTCCTTCTTTTTTAAGTGGGCGAGTTCAACAAAGAGGCAACATCTACACAACTCTGATAAGCTTCTATGAGCAAGCCTTTATTATCAACAAACCTTCCACTTGCCTTAGATTACCTAAAAAGTCAAACTACCATTATCTAAGTTTTTATCAGTTGTGTTTACAGCTAATCTACAAAGCCCACATGGACTTTAGACACTGATTTAAACTGTGTAACAATTGCAATATAATCAAAAGTGACTTCTATATACTGAAGCACCTATCATGGAGATCTGGGAATTTGAATAGCTTCCTGTGATTAGTGTTGGTATTCACGCCTGATATAATCCATGCCCATTCTGTTCTCACTTTATTCCAGTAGCTGCCTTTGTGATTACTGTGGAATTCCCCCACTGCATGGCAGTGTTGAGCAATTATGCTGAGCAGATTCAGGTTCATTTTACAGCTGTAAAGAATTTAGAGACTTTGATCTCAGGAGATTTTACAACCACCAGGTTTAAAAATTAAAAAGTTTATTTGTTCAAGTAACTGCCTGAAATTAAAAAGGGTTTACAAAACAAATACTAGAGCTATATAGTATATATAAACAAAACAAAAGTGGACACATGTAGATATGAAGTAATTGTGTTTTTAAAACAAAACAAAAAGATCATTGGCAAGGGGGCTGAATGTGGAAGTGTGTTAGCGGACTTCTACAAAAGCTTTATGCGTTGCGGTCGATACGGACGTCCACCTCTCGGCCATTGATCTTGGTTCCGTTCATCAACCTGCAGGCCTTCTCGGCGCTCTCTGGAGAGTCGAACCTCACCGTCCCACAGCCCTTTGACTTTCCATTCTCCATCTTGATCTCTGCGAACATTACCTGGCCTGCAGTAAAAATACAAGTTATTATGAAATCCATGTTTGACAAAGTGTTGATGTTTATCCTGTGATTTTTGCATTCATAATGAAATGTCAAAAAGAGTCTTTGAGTATCATGTAAATAATACAAAAGAGATTCAATTCCTTCTAAACAAAATACGTACCGCAGTGACTAAACTTCTCCTTCAGCTTTTGCCATGTCAGATCATAGGAAAGCTGCAACACACAAATAAACAAAGACTATATGTTACAAAATAACATATTTCAGCCTTGGAGAATCCTTCAAAACCTTCCTTTGAAGGGCAGCACCAGTCAATTCATCAACACACCAACCATGAACAACTCTTACAGCATCATTACCATTTATATTAATGCCCGGCAAGCATGGGCGGTTTGCCATTAGAGCATAGTCATAAAGAAAATGTATTATGTACATCAATGAAAGTTTCATTAAATAAGGGGTGAGGTTTAGAGATCTCGGTAATCCAATCCTATTTAACGGAAGTCTAATTCTCTTCTAGCAAAGTTCTCAATAATCTGACACACACTTACATTTCTAGCAAAGATCTGACAGCCTCCTTTAGACCCAGAGCCCCTGTCAGACATTCCTCCACCACCCATGTGGCCCGGCCCCCCACCTCCATAGCCACCAAAGGCACGATTCATGTCCATCCCTGACATGCCCATGCGGTCAAAGCCAGAACCCATCCGGTCCATCGACATGTTTCCCATTCCACCACCTGAAGTTATCAAACACACACAGGGACACACGTTCTGAGAAATTAAGGGAGCAATTTACATTCATGTAGTTGTATACTTTCATACCTGCATATCGTAACTGACATACACTCATCATGATGCCTTTCATCCACCTCACATTGGGCTTTTCATTCCTTTAATCCAAAGACATTTCACTGAAGTGTGTATAAACCAATATAAACGGAATTGGTATTTGATCACTTGAAAACATTAGTTGTCACAGAGTCCAATGTCACAGTGACACTGTTTGCACAAGAAAATCTGACTTTGGACCCATACCTATTAATAGTCACCAGACAACGCCTTAAAAAAAGGGTCCGATGAGAAATTATTTAAATGATCTTGTGAATGCACCATAAGAAGTTTCTCAAACACCGGTTATTTTGTATTATGTGTACAACTCCAGGGGCCGATTTTAAATCATGCTACCACAAATGCAAAGCTGCTTGTTTGGGGTTCACGACCCTTTTGAGCCTCCCCAGGCACACTTGCTACTTTGGATTATGCGCGTGAAGCAGTGCAAAGGGCCAAAGGGCTGGCTGAATCATAACAGAAATCTGGATTTTTTTTTTTTGTACAATGATGATATAAAAATAAATGTTTATGATTTAAATCCTGTTGTTTGCATGCATCAATCTAATACTATTCCGTTTGAATCCAATTGCATTCACACCATAAATGGTCACATTATATCATAATGTGAAACAGCATTATTCAAGAACAAACCATGAGAGTTCTTACACAAAAGACAGTTTGATTGATGTGTTGCCATCATCTGCATACACGACTAAATTAGATCTGTCTCATGCTTGTAGAAATGCAGTTCCAAAAGTATGTCTTCACTCTGTGCTCACACAACATGCACATTGTATTATCTCTCATGCCTGTTGTGATAGAAATCAGGATTTCTTTTTTTATTTGTACAATGATGATGTAAAAATATGTTGTCTTATTCAAAGTCTGTTGTATCCATGCATCAATCTGCCTGTCTGGTTGGCTGCCCACAAGCATGAATGTTTAGGCTTTCAGTGTGAAGGTATACAGTGTGTGATGCAGAAGACCATTGATCTTACTTCACTATGCACCGTACACCAGTGTTCAGGAACTTTAGGTTCAGTTTAAGAACAACACATGAGGAGAGTCAATCCCTGTACTGAGTTCATCAGTTTCTCCAGGTCATAGATGTAGCTTACAAGTAGCTCTAGGCCAGTGTGTATGTATAGTTTTAGGGGAGGAATTCATATCTAACAGATTTAGAAAAAGATGTGGATGGAATATCTCATGTACCTAATCCAGTCCCCATATGCCCCATGCCACCACTGCCCATGCCTCCTCCAAAACCTCCACCTAAAGAAGAGAATGCAAGTGGGTGCTGATTAGTTTAGATCATGACACAACATTTTCAAAGCAAACACAGAACCCTATCACCCTATATGAAGAAAAAAAACACAAAAGCAAACTAAACCACATCCACTCAAAACCAAACTTAACAGAATAACTTTTGTATTGCCTACCCATTGCTCCAAACGAATCACCAAATCCTCGACTCATTGGCATGTCACTGTGGCCAAAGTCTCGATCCATTCCACCCATTCCTGACCGGTACATATCTCAACACAGAGAGAAATGTAACATTAGACATAATGGCCAATAACACAAATGTACAAAGCAATGTTTGTAGAACAACATCCTGGCAGATCTCATCTCTGCTCAGTAGGAGTGAATATGCTCACTTACCTCCCATCCTGCCACCTGGCGCCATGTCCCTCCCTCCAAAGCCCCCTGTGTTGCCCATGCTCTCCATGCCCCCAAAGCCGCCACCACCACCACCACCACCACCACCACCCATTCCTGTTGAAAGTAAAACCAAGTTTCAGCATTGGTCTCTCCTTTCCTCTACAAAAAGATGACATTAGTCTTTCAGCAGAACCGTACCTCCTCCAAGTCTGTTCATTCCACCATAACCTTGAGCATCCATGCCTATGGAAAAAGATGATATCAGTCAGGCTATGCCAAAGCACATACTGTATCCATTTATATCCAAAGGGTATACATCCACGTAAAAAGGTACTGTGTGTACCCTGTAGTAGTGTTAAAGTCAGCTGGTAGGAGCTTTGCTCGTCTTATCGCTTTAACCCACATTGAGGTTGCTGCAGGGTCAAAAGATGAGCCATGAAAATGTCAACCAAGACTTGAACGGTGAAAAGGTGTATGTCGGATTGCCGGGATTTATTTTACAGAATGGTGTTCAAAATGCTGCCTTATGGCGTTTATGTGTTGGGCAGGTAGTGGAGATGCGTCTGATTGTCTATGATAAGCATTGTCTTAATAAACAGACCAGTTTGCAACACACTATGTCATGTGCATGCCAAAATATAAGTACAACATCTGAGAGATGACTGACCTCCTGGCCCCATGGAGCCCATTCCTCCTCCACCACTCGGACGGTTGGCATTAATAGGATGGCCTCCTGGTCCCAGTCCCATGCCAATTCCACCTAGGCCCCCTACAGACAAAATATACAAGAAAAAGAGGAAAGTTTGAACTAAGTAAATCACTAGTAACAATGGTACCTTACTTAGTATAAGAATGAATACAAAAACGAAATAATTAATCAATGATGCTAGGGACAAAACACATTGAGAATGTGGTGTTCTTAATACAACATTTGTTAAGTTAATTGTGCACAGATGTATCTTTACACGATCTGTTACTGCATCAGCAATGAACCAACTCTAAAGAATGGATGATGTACTGCACAGGGCATTTTTAATATCAAAAAAAGGTACACAGACATTGCTGTAAGGTAGAATAGATGTTATTTATTCACCTGTGTCAAGTCAATTTTATTTATATAGCACAATATCCCAAATCAGCCTCTGGGGGCATAACAATCTGTACAGCATTCAAAACCCTTTATGCATTTTGACCTTCACTTCGGTTAGTAAAAAAAAAAAGTCTGATCGAATATGAAAAACTCCTTAAATAAGGGAAAAGAGG